ATCAAGTATCTTCTCTGATCACAATGGAATAAAACCAGAAATCAGTAACAAGAGGAACTTTGGGAAGTATACAAACACATGGAAATTGGCCAGGTCAGCGGCTCACACCTGTAATCCCAGCACTTTGAGAGGCCAAGGCAGGCGGATCACAAGGTCAGGATTTTGAGACCAGTCTGGCTAATATGGTGAAACCTCACCTCTACTAAAATACAAAAATTAGCTGGGCGTGGTGGTGCGCGCCTGTAGTCCCAGCTACTTCAGGAGGCTGAGGCAGGAGAATTGCTTGAACCCAGGAGGCAGAGGTTGCAGTGAGCCAAGATCACGCCACTGCACTCCAGCCTGGTGCCTGGCGACAGAGCAAGACTCTGTTTCAAAAAAAAAAAAAAAAAAAAAAAAGGTAATACCTGAAGCTGGTGATTAGCGGCTTCCCGATAAGATCTCTCGAGTTGGACAAGCAGGCTCAAGCATGCATAGTAAGAGGCAAGATGGCAGAGCTTTACTGGTATATAACCTTCCACTAGGAACACTAGACTGGTAAAGGAACATGCCTCAAATGAAATGTGCGCACAGCTTCGTAAACACATGGCACATGCGGCTCCTCCCAAGTGCTGGCAGGCCACTAACATGCAGACAGCCCACCCCAAGGAAAAATCAAGGGAGGACACAAACCTCAGACCATGCCAATGTACAGAAACCCCAAGTCAAGAATCAGATAAGGCACTTGAATCTCTCAAGTCGCCCACTCGGCCCTCTTCCAAGTTTCCTTTACTTCCTTTCCTTCCTGCTCTAAAACTTTTAAATAAACTTTTACCTCTGCTATATACCTTGCCTTGGTCCCTCACTCTGCCTTATGCCACTTGGCCAAATTCTTTCATCTGAGGAGGCAAGAATTGAGTTGCTGCAGACCTGTACAGATTCATCACTCCTAAGGGTAATCCAGGATCTTACCCAAGATGACCAAGGTGGTACCTCTACAAATAGGTAAACTATTCATATCTTAAGTAGTGAGACTAAAGGGCAAACCTATCAAAAATAATAACTACAACTTTTAGAGACAATGACAGTATAATAAGATATAAATATTGTAGGGCCGGGCGCGGTGGCTCAA